CTCTCCTCTTTGCGGGGAGGCCATGATGAACCCTGAGTATGTGTCCACTGAAACATGGATATATTTCCATGGTGCAAAAGGCGCATACTGGGTTACATCCATTTGCCAAATTTGGCAGGCTTTTAAGCCTCTGGGATTTACTCCCATTGGCAGGGCAGGGGCTTGCTTGCTGCAAGTAGGGCATTGTTGAATAATTGCGGCAGCCTCTTGGGCGGTGATTTGGAATTCCTTCATAAGAGCCCTTTTATTTTGATGAAAATAGTTATGACTGTCCCAAGAGGTTAGGGGAGAAAGAGAGAAAGCGGATAGAATAGTAGCAGCGGATGCGGCTGTTAATTGCTGCAATGCAAGCAATTTATTTGCTGGCAATGGCCATTGATCAACCCAAACAGGAATGTCCGTGCTTAAGGTCAAGCGAAGGGGAAGAGGGTGAGTCATTCTAGCTGCAATTTAGCACCAAATTGAGAGAGCAAGTCCCTCCCCCACAAATTCGTGTGAAGGGGGAGGATGACGGGCTTTATTTGTGCAGTCCCTGTGAGGTTTTCAGAAGTCACAGGGAGCCAAAACTTACTGATGAGAGCCATTTGAATCCCTCCTACACCTCTGACCGATGGGGAGGTCTCTGTTTCCCAGTCTGTAGGCCACTCGTCAGAGCGTATCACCGAGATGTCAGCACCAGAGTCCAGAAGACCGGTGAAGCGGCGACCCTTGATTAAAGCCAAGAGTGTGGGCTTAGTTTTGGTGATAGATCTAGTGAGGGCAAGCACATCAGAGGGAAGTTGCGGTACCATGATCATTTTTGCTACCACGTCACCCTTTTGTAACTTCGTTGGAAGAGTGGATAGCACAGAAAGGTTAATGGCTGAGAGTTTTGAGGAAGGATAAAGCAGATCGGGAACCACAGAGATTCCTTTGAGGAGGGCATGAGGGTGAGATTGTATAAGAGCAGTTTTATTGGAGGAGAAGGAGGCAGAAGGAGCTATGCGCTGACAGAGAGTGGTAGATGGGGAAAGGATATGAGCACATCTTCTGCCACTGATAATTCATACACAATGGATGGTATATGGGCAGCCTTGGGAGAGGGGCTAGCTGCCGGCCCCTCTACTCGTTTCCTGAGGGTTCAGTTTTTGATTGACATTGATTAGCCCAATGATAGCCTTTCTTACATTTCGGGCAGACTGTTTTTGGTCGAACATCTCTACTGGCGGAGGGCTTTGCTGCCCCCCGGCCAGGGGCTCGGCATTGTGATTTAAAATGGCCAGGCTTCCCACAATTGTAACAATTACCAGATGGCTTATTACCTCTGGTGATAGCTGCAGCCATCATTTCGGAAGTGTATTGGTGTGTTTCCACCACCCTGCAGGCTTGTAGGAATTGGGCTAGAGTGGCATCTGGAGAATTAATCAAGGGAGTAAGCAAGGTTTTACAGTCTGCATTAGCGTTCTCATATGCCAATTTAAGAAGAATTTCCTGCCGAGCCGCCTCATTTGTAATTTGCCTTTGTAGGGCCGTTTGGAGGCGTTCAATAAAACCGGCATAGGGTTCATTGGAATTTTGTAGAATTTTTGCAAAAGATTGTGCGGAGGTATGAGGGTCATCTAAGCGAGAGAGAGCAAGCAGAGCGGCTTGTGCAGAAAGGTTAAGAGCATTAATAGGGCTATTATATTGAGCTGCGGGAGCAGCAAAGGCACCCTCTCCTGCCAGTTCATTTGCAATAAGATTCGGATTTTGAGCTTCCAATAGGCGACAATGATGGAGAAACTCCGATTGCCATACAACAAATTGAGTCCCTGTTAGAGTCATATGAAAAAGGCTATGCCAATCAGCTGGGATCATTATATGGGCGTTAGCCATCATTATAAATAATCCCATCGTAAATGGAGCCTGAATACCATACATTTGTACAGCTTGTTTGATATCCTTGATTGATTTAACAGGGATGGGTTCCCAGTGCGGGACGTTTTGTCCCTGTGCGTTCTGCGCATAAACTAACGGGAACGCCGATGGGCAGTCAGAGTGATCTAACTCACCAGTTCTAACTCCTGTAGCGATGGTGGGATGAACTGCACCCATAGGAGGGGGTAAGGCAGGAGAGGAAGGCACAGAAGGGAAAGCAAGAGAAGAAGAGGGATTGGGTGAGGGGGGGTCAGGAGAAGGGGGAGGAGGTTTACCAACCTCTTTGCCTCCGGGGGGGCAGTCGGTTTAAGAGACACAGGCGCCACAGCAGGGGGCAAGAGTTGTACAGCAGGATTCACATAGGGAGGGGGTCCAGAAAGGGGGCCAAGTAGGGGTTGCTCTAGAGAGGAGAGAGACTCAAAAACCACCCTCCAAGCAATTAATATAGACAAAGGGGCCCTAGGACTTGCATGAAGGTATTTTCCAATCTCCTTCCATACTGTAGTTTTGATACTGCCTTTAGCCGGATAAAAAGGGCAGTTGCCAAATGTATTCGAGGAGTTCCTCAATAGAGGTTTTTGGGAGGGGGGCATGAAGGGAGCCCCCCTTTTTAAAGGTAAAAAAATTTCATTTGGTCAATTCTCTGATTTCCTGAATGTGAGCTGCCTGCTCCTTAGAGAATCTACCACCCATACTCACGAGGGATCCGTTGTCGCCAGCGATTCAAGCGGATGAGGTGCACCAAGTCTATTCCAGACGACGAGAATGGGTGTGCCAAAGACGTATCTCTTTTGAGTGGATCACGTCGGGGTCACCAGTTGTGGTGGTCTCTCATGAAAAGAAGACACTTCGCAAAGTTGTCTTGGGATGAGAGCGCAGAGAGAACTCCAAAACCCTCTTTTATTAGAAGCAATCTTTGTTAACGTAGCAATTTTGTTAATGTCCTATCACAAACACATTACATCACACAACATGCACTGATCATTCGCATAAAGCATACAAGGCTGCAGAGTTTAAGTTTGCTACAGTTCTGGTTAAGAAATGGCAACAATTTGTCTTTGCTCCTTGCTTCGTGTTCCAGCCAACTACCAGAAGGCTCTGTTGTCCTAGCACGTACATAAAGAACAAAGAATCATAGTTCCCACAGTATATCAGTATGCAATCTGAATTTTCATCAGATAGAAATAAATTTGACTGTATTAAATGAGTGAATACTTAATTATGCCTTAATGTGTTTCTTATGCTGCTGAGGATCATTAAATAAAGTTTGGAAATGTAAGGACTATGCAGTTAAAATCCTTTCTGTCTGTTTTTGTATTTAAGCATCCAAGGAATTCACATTTTTCAATGTCTAAATTTATAGTAGCGTTTGTGTATTGTTCTCCATTCCCTCTAAAGGCTCTTTCAAACTAAATTGTATGCCAAAAAGTATTAGTACAGAATTAAGAATTAATTTAGCAGTTAGGGCATGAGCTAAGATGCCAAGTGGGCTTTGACCTAACCAGCTGATTGTGAGGGCATGTGGGGAGATGGATTGAGCTTATCTGAAAGTGCGTAGGTAAAGGTGTATCTGAAGTTCTGGCTGACTGTCGAAGATCTTCCCATGTGCATTGAGTGCTGACCAACTAATCAGTAAATTAAGAATGACTATTGTAGGGAGGCTGCAGGTTGCTACCAAATCAACATCCATGGACTCTCCCATTAGAATGAATCTTAAAAGATTGTTGTAAACTTTCCAGTAAGTAGCATCATACAGACAATTAAAAGTCAATTCTCCTGCTTTTTGTTTTCTGAGACTAGGTGTCATATATGTATACATGATGTTGATAGAATCATAAAGCTGGAAGGGGCCATTGAAGTAATTAAGGTCAAACATCTGTTGCAAGAATCCAAATTAAAGCATCTCAGATATCTATCTAGTGTTGAACACATTCAATTAAGAGGTGCTTATCACCAGGATTAAATTTATTGCCCATAATGCTAGTAACCTTGCTTAATATTTAAGCAGAATCCACCTACCTGTAATTTAAATCCTTGTCTAAATTTCTGGGAAAAAGAAAACAGGTCTACCTTTTACAATATTTGAAAAGCCCATTTTCTTAGTCGTCTTTTATCCAGGGTAGAAGTTTCTTTAGTTTGTATTCCTAATAATTGATTATCTGTACCTGTCCCAAATTTTCTAAATACTTTTAAAAGCTCTACTTAGAACTGGATACAGATCTTTATTTTCTTCTATATATTGAAGATAATTTTTCATTCAAATATCTACTTACCTCATTAATTCATTTATGTCATTCTAGATACAACAGTTAAACTTTATTGATACATTTATTTGAATTTATATGGCTTTCCATCTTGTAACAGTGACTAAGAACAGCTAACATAGAATTAAAGCTAAATCACTATCATCATCATCATCATCATCATCATCGATAGATAGTCAAGAATGGTAAACCCAGTTTAAACATCTGGCTGTCTGCAATCATCCATAATATGGCAACTAATATCCATCTCATAGGACTCCTATGCTTAGGAAAATAGCTTACATAAATTTCAATCTTGACATGATCTTGACATTTAGCTGATCATAACAGATTCTGGGGACTGCAAAACAATCTTCAGTGCTGTATGTTATACATTTAATTTATTATGAATTTCCAGTGCAGGTAATCCTCAACTTAAAACTATCCGTTTAACAACCATTGAAGTTATAACACTGAAAAAGTGACTTTCAATCAGTCCTACAACCATTGCAACATCCCCATAGTCACATGATCAAAATCCAGGTACTTGGCAATTAGTGTGTATTTGCAACACTTGCAGCACCCTGTGTCATGTGATCATCATTTGTGACCTTCCCAACCAGCTTCCGACAAGCAATATCAATGGGGAAAGCCAGATTTTCTTAATAACCACATGATTCACTTAACAACTTCAGCAATTCACTTAACTGTGGGTGCATCTCACTTAACAACTACCTTGACAGTGGAATTCTGGTCCTGATTGTGGTTGTAAGTTGAGGACTATCTGTAGTATTGAATATTATGGCATGTTAGCATGTATGATACTGATGCTCATGGTAATACAATGTAATTCTGATTTAGCTTTTTTAAGGTATATCTTCATGATTCTGCCATTGTTCTTAGTTCTGGCACCAGAAGCCTCCTCTGATAATATGACTGAAATCCGAAAAGCTTATGACAATCTTCTAGTCGGCATGATTAGTCATCTGGTGGGTAGCAATTTTTTTTGCATTTAAAACAAAGCTACAATATTTCTTTACAAGACAGTTTTAACATAGATGAGATATCTGAAGAAATGACATTAGTAATAATTTATGCAGAACTTGCAGACAGAAAGATAATAGTACTGGTCAAAAAAAAAAAATCCCATAACAAGTGGAATGAGGTGATGGGACTTAAGCCTGTCTTCCACTGTTTATAAATACAGTGATGGAAATGTAGATCTTCCCTGCTGTTTTATAAGACCTAAGGCTTGATTTCCAAAGTGAGCCAAATTCTTAGATTTATAGGAGGGAGTAACTTTTTTTTTAATTGACTTGGATCGTGTAATGACCCAGCATTCGTTTCTTAGCTTTTTTCTACAGGATTGAGACTAGACTGAGTAACCAATCTGCTCCTTATAGTTAGTAAGTAAGTTAATATACTAAATTAATATACTAAATTTATTAAGTTAATAAATTTTACAAAATCTAGAAATTGCCAATCCATCAAAATGAAAATGAGCGAGAGTCACTGCAAATAAATATAAAGTGTCCCCTGAGCTAGAAATTGAATAGTGCCCTATTTCAATCCAAACTATAGATAGTCCTTATTTAGTGACCATAGTTGGGACTAGCAACTTTGTTCTTAAAGTGAAATGGTTGCTAAATGAAAAAAATAATGTGACCACAACTGTGCTTAGGATCTTGCTAATGTGCTTAGGATTTTATTTCAATTTATTTTTATTTGACCTTTCCTGGGAAGGTTACAAATGCAAACATAGGTTGCAAAGTTACTTTTTCATCAATGTTATAACTGCAAGTCTCTACCTGAGGCATTCACTAAGTGAAAATTATTTGTATGATATTTGCTCATACTTTGTGTATCTGTTACATGCAAAACAAACCCTGATCTACGCCCCACAAGATATTTCTCTTTGAAAGACCCATGAAATAATGTATCTATAAATCCATAGACATTGTTTTTTATATTGAATGTATTCTACAGATGAGCATGCAATGCTATATGAAACAATGGAGTTGGTTGGTCACTTCTCATTTGCCAGGAAATTCTATTTGTGTGTCTAGTTTTATTTTTTTTAATTTCAGATACTTATATGTGATTTTTGGCAACTTTGGTGCAGTAAGTGTTACTTGATGTTGTACGTCAATCAAAATCTATTCACTTTCTAAGTACTGGCTCATAAAATTAATATAACTACTAAATATAGATGACTTTTAAAAAAAAAATAATACTGTTAAAATAGCCTTTTCCACTATGCTGTCTTCTAAACTTGCTGAACAAAGGCAAGCTAACCAGCATGTCTGTGAGTAGAAACAGTATATTTGCAGGGCATCGGGTACAGAGGATAAAATGTTTATGCTAAAATGCTTTGGAACCTCCCACACCCTCTATTGCAGATTACAGAGTTGTTACAGGTCAACAAGATTTCCTTCAGGAAAATAAGAATGATTTTGCAGATTTGTCTCTATGCTGTAGCTTCATAACTCCAAATCTGCTTCAGGTGGTTGGGAGTTTTTCACAGCAATCACAGAGTCATGGTGCAGGGAGATATATACTGTAGGTAAGAACAATTGGGAAAAACGTATTTCTCTTCAACTCCAGTGATAGCAGCTTCTGCTGGACAAAGAAGGAGCTCCATGAAATACTGTCTATTGTTTTCAAACTTTCAACTTAACTAACAGAATCCATTATTGAAACTGAAATATATATAGGGCACCTCTTTTGATCTACAATTAGTGTAGTGATTAAGACACTGGGCCTTGGATTATAATCCTTAGACATAGAAGTCAGCTAAGTGACTTTGGGCTAGGCATTATCTTAGCTCAGAGAGAGGTTGCTGTGAGGAAAAAATTGAAGGAGGAAGTGTTGTGTACATTACCTTGAGTTGTATAATATTAAGGCAGGAAAAACAATCTATTGAGTAAATAATAAATTTAAAAATTTATTTCTGCATATTTGGTACATTCCAAAATCTCCATGTATGATTACTTATTGGTAACTTCATTCTTCATATAAAACAATTTAAATATTTAGAAATAAACTAAAAAAGTAACTCTTAAGTTGATGTTAGTAACACTACATAATTTAAAACTTAAGAATAACATTCAATACTCAGATGTAAAATAATTAATCTACTGCTTCTTACATATGATTTTTTTAATAGGAGGAACTCATTAGTGAGAACATCACATCCAGTTGTAACCTGAACAAACGTTACCGTTCATTTGAGGTAATGTTGATACCCCTTGAAGTAATGTCTCTAATTTGACAAGCTAATTTATGAAGCAATATGCAATTGTTGGAGGTTGAATTTGAATTTTCAAAATGTAAGGATGTTTTGTAACATTTTGCCTAATAAAGCATTTTGGAATATTCACTTAGCACCATTTTGGCTGATCATCAAAAAGGTATACTGCAACTGGACAAAATTACCCTGGACAAAATATGACAATCGTTTTATATTCTTTGAAGAAGGATGTTTTAGCCACTTGAATCTAATATTTTCAGAGCAGGATAATTTTGTACACCCTGAAGAGGTACCTTGCATTTTGACAATTATACTCTTTCCAACTATTAGACAGTCTAAAAGGTTTGGCGTAATTGCTTTTTATTTAATACATTAACCAAAATTACTTTCTGGCTTTGCATTGATAAGAGATCCTAATCTTTCTTCATTGCTGCTTCTGTGCAGGATACTGAAATAATTTGTCCATAACAAGAGGTATGGGAGGAGGTTCATTGGTGATGAATAGCATTTCAGAACTGTGGAATAAGTATTGCCCTTTATTTCTCAACACAATATGGAATTTGATATCCATAAAAGGGCTGTATATTGTAACTATCTTCATAATTATCTGGTGTAAACATTGTACTTCCATATTTACATGTAAAAACACAATTTTGTTTTGTTTGAATTTGAAGTGAAAAATTGCTACTTTTTTTCATCTTCGAATTGGTAAATAAACAAAATATTAGACCTAAAAGTACTCAGTGATTTGTAACTTTAAAATGAATTCATTGTTGAAGCAGTTTTTCACATAGAAGGCTAAAGGGGGTAGGATATAATGGGACTGGGAAGACTCAACCCAAATCACCATGACTACAGAATTCATTATGGGGCTCCAAGTTAATCTCGCAGCCTAAAGCTCCTTGGCTAAGAGAAAATAATAGACAACAATTTATAATGAATAATTTTTGATAATGAGAATGCTACCCTTGCCAGACTGAACTTGTTGGGCGGGTACTATGGAAGGCAAGCAGTCCTTCAAGTAACCTGGCCTTATATCAAGCAGCAGAACTTGATATAAACAACCTATAAGTAGGCAAATGCAGTGAAAGAAAGAGATTAGCTGAAGTAAAGGGAATAGCTGTGTTGTGGTCCTCATTCCTTAGAAAGTCTATGTCTCAGACTAGAAAAGATTTCCTTGCAGTAGGAGACATAGCAGCTAAAGGAAAACCAAAACCAATAGCTTAAATTCCATTGTAACAGTACACACAACACATGCGTCAGGCCAAACTTCCTGTTACCTTTTTAAAAATTATGTAGAGGACAATATAATTTCTATGTCCGTCATGTATTTAAGAAGCAATCTCTTGATATTAGGTAGTTTGCGAAAGGTGCTTTGAATAGAATGAAATCCTAATGCTGTCATGAAATGTTGATCAGTAGACTCTTGGATAGTTTCAGTTGAAAGAAACTTATTATGCCACATATCATAGGAAGCATTCCAGATTAAAATGTACACATAGCTTGACAAAACATTATTAGCATCAATATTTGTAAATAGTGTATATCTTTATGCTTTCCAGTCTTGTTGCCCTGGAGAGAGACAACTGTATTTTTTTGACCTTTATTGCCTTCTAATTTGAAGAATAACTAACATGGTTATATGTAGAATATAGTTCTCCAATTTAATAGGCTACATTTCTTTACAGAATGCAAACATAACTTTTCTGACATCGTGCCTGAAGAAAAAGGCAAATTGTACTAAATTTGCTTCTTTAAAGACTGGCATGAATGAGGTTTCAGAGTTGACAACAAAAATATTAAAAAAGGTATGTGTTTAGGAGAGTTTCATTGCTGCCTTATTCTATTGTATTTTATTAGCTTAATAGTTTTAAAAAATCCAGAATAATTGGAATTCATGGTGGTAACTGATAACTCATTGTATATTCTATGGGAAGAAAAAGGTAAAATTACAATACAGGAAAGATGCTTATAGTGAGAGATATAATTCACAGAAATTCATTATACTGAGATACCACAAAGTTTATAATACCCAGCGTATTCAAAACTAATTCAAGATATTTAGATTGTAGGATTTCAAGTCCAAACCAAATATTCAGATTAATAATCACAGGAAGAAGAAAACCTGTTGGTATATTTTAGAATTCTTACTGGCTAAATATTGCAATAAATGCATTTTAGTAATATGCTCTCATATGGCTACCCAAAGAAGTACAAAAGAAAGCAAAATAACATATTTTCTTTAGAATTCTCTCATGTAAATACTAATTGCCCTCATTCACCTATGAATCCAATAGAGTAGGTCTGATTTTCCATAGCATTTTCATCAGAAAGTGACTGGGTCTAGTAAAATTCTGTCAGTATCTTTTAACTGGCAACAAAGATCTTTTTTTACAGCCACGTCTAACTGAATTACATACTGTTCATCCATAAATATTAATTATAAACAGCTTATATATTTATGTTTTTATCTAGACTGATTATACCTTACAACCAGTCAACCTTACAATCAATCAACGTCATCGGTGTTGTCGTCAATGCAGGAAAATCATCAGAAATTTTGATAACCATACTTTGTGTTGCCTAAAGAATGTTGTTTCAGCCTTGAGTTCCTGGTGGAAGAGGTTTCTTTATTATGGTTTTATACCAACGGGTATAAAGTGATAAGCCTAACTTTCATAAGACTTAAGAGCAGCTTTTATAATCTAGATATATATCAGACTTCTTTTATAGAAAATTATGCAAATATTCTCCGCTAATGCCTTGACAAGACTGTTGAATTTGTTCCATGAGTCCCACAACAGAAAAAGTTGGAAGAAGAGAAGCAGGCTGCCAAAACATCAAAGCTCTCAAGTGCTAATGAAAGTAAAAAAAAAAGTAAGACAATAGAATGAAAGAAGTGTTCCAAATTTATTGGTTTGTGTTTTACATCATATACATGTACTGTATATAATTTGCCTCCTAAGAAATCTTCACCAATATAATCCTGAACATATTGTCTTCATATGGTAGTTAATAGATTTGGAAAGAAAACGAAGAGTGATAATTGAGAGCAAGGTAGCAGTTTGGGAAATGGTTATGACAAAGGTACAAATAGATAGCTTGTAGGATTTAGGACAATGTATTGGAAAATATATATATATATTATTATATAGAAGTCATAAAGGTGTTTGTTGTGGTACTTTGCAAAAATGAATATATATTAAGTTTTTTTTAAAAAAATAAACCATCATCCCTGTATAAATGTTTATTTAATACAATACCATTATGGTTGTCTCTTAACTTGCAATTTTAGCAACTGATTTTATAGTATTAAATTAGCTCTAATTGTGTACTCTACATATTGCACTAAGTAATGAACAGTGCTTAATCGCAGCTGTGCTAATTTTTTTTAAGCTATGGGAGAATATTAGAGGATGACGGGAAAGTATTTGCTTGATGGTAGAATGCCCTTTACTGACATTTAATGATATAAGTATTAGGGATATTTAAATGTTTCAATTTCAGAAAACTGTAACTTGAAGCACCCCGTTTCATATTCAGGCATGCTGGTCTAAATTTATTGGACATGCACTGAGCCTGAAACATTCTGACAAGTGTTACATACCACTTGAAATAGGACTATATATCTTGCATGCAATACTTAAGAATCACAATGTTGAAATACTTGGGATTCAAAAATATTATGTCTGCTCTTTAAAAAACCAGCATAAGATCTCATGTTCAGAGATTAAAATAAGTACTTTCAGATTGCATAGTCCTAGCCAATTCCAAGAGAAGTCACAGATACTGGACATGTGCACAGATATAGGAGGTACAAAAATCAAAGCAGGGCTCTTCCAAAGCAACTCCAAATTAAAATGACAATTCTAAACCTTGTTAAATTATTCAAAATGGAATAAATAATGTCTTTATCCACTTGATTTAATCTTAGAATGTGTGAATGCAAGCACTGTGTTTTCAAAAATGGACTAAAATGTGAAAGCTCCTTCAGGTTATCTGTTGATGCCTTTACAGACATTTTTATAACTTTCTTGCAAAAAATATGAAAGTAGCTTCTCCCAGGATGTTGTCTTAGGAAGATTCTCAATCATCCAGGTCACGCTTGCTCTAAAGATGCTTTTTCCAAAAGGCAACTGGACATTCTTGGTTCTTTTTTCTTTGAAAAACGTTTCACTTCTGAAGAACTAAACTGAAGAAGCTTCTGGGATGAGAAACAAAATGTTTCCAAAGGAAAAAAAAACTAAGAAAATTGCCTTTTGGAAAAAGCATCTTTGGAACTTCTAGGATGTTGTTTTGACTTCCCAGACAACCTTATGAGTTCCTGGCAGTCTTGCTTAATAGTATTAATTTGTTGGCCCCGCTTAGCTTTTTTCACTTGCCAAGATTAAAAAGGATGCATAGCTCTATATAAAGTGAACTCTTGGAGGAATAGGAGAATTTGGAGTTATAACCCACAGTTCTAGCTTCTAATTACAATGAATGGAAAGTCTTAATGAAACCAATCACAATATTTGAGAGGGAGCAGGGGAATTTGAGTCAATATATTGGCAGAATTCCTTCTCACACTGGCAACTGCCCTACAGAACCCAAAAGAAATCAATTTTTCTCAAGTTTCTTACCTCCTCCTTATTTTATCTCCACAAAGTTTACATGCAGAAACTTTACATTTTTTCCTCTTACCTCCATATTCTATGTTTTGGTATGTCTTGAACCTAGCATTTGGCTGTTGGACCTTTTGAGGGGGACAAAACCAAATACCCAATATGTACAACCTGCAAAGAAGAACCATTTTCTCAAGTATGTTTCTCTTCTAAAGTGTACACACTCATTGTTTATCCTTCTTCACTCATCTAGTATGCTCATTTATCAATGACATGGCTAATTTGATTCAAGCATCAGCCTGCAAACACCATTATCCTTGGAAACAGTATTGGTTCAACTCAAACATTTTAATGAAAATAAACTTAGGTAATTTGTAACAATTCTCATATTCAGTTCCAAAGAAAAGTATTTTCAGTTCCAAAGAAAAGTACTTAAACAGTTTTCTATTTTTACCAGCTCTTCTTGACATATCTATATAAACTTCAAGAGAAAGTAAATATTTACTATTAAATATTTTCCCCCAAAGAGCCATGGCTATGGCTGGAGTCACATTCCAATAAAAAAGAACATAACTATTATATTTTTCTTTCCTTCATTACTCGTCAGATACAGCTTTAAGTGAGTGGGTAATAAAGCTACTCAGCTGCCCAGAGTCACCAGAGATGGGCAACATATACATTTTATTAATTAATATCTAATATTAGTAACTCCAAAGAACATGTTTTCTGAAATAAAATTAAATCAAATAGAATCAATTAATTCAGGGGGGAGGTATGCAGCGGGGTGCTCCAGGGCTCTGTTTTAGGCCCAGTATTCTTCAACATCATCAATGATTTGGTGAGGAGATAGATGGAAAACTCATCAAATTTGCAGATGACACCAAGCTAGCAGGAATAGCCAACACTCCAGAAGATAGGTTTAAGATTCAGAAAGATCTTAACAGACTTGAACAATGGGTGCTATCTAACAAAATGAAATTCAGTGGTGAAAAAAGTAAGGTTCTACATTTAGGCAAGAAAAACAAAATGCACAGGTACAGTATATGTGGTACCTTTCTCAATAGTGATGACTGAGAGGGATCTTGGAGTCCTAGTGGACCATCATTTAAATATGAGCCAGAAGTGTGCTGCAGCTGCCAAAAAAGCCAACACAATTTTAGGCTGCATAAACAGGGATAGAATCAAGATCATGTGAAGTGGTAATATCACTTTATAATGCCTTGGTAAGGCCACACTTGGAATACTGCAACCAGTTTTGGTTGTCACAATGTAAACAGATGTTGAGACTCTAGAAAGAGTGCAGAGAAGAGCAACAAAGATGATTAGGGAACTGGAGGCTAAAACATAAAGAACGGTTACTGGAACTGAATATGTCTAGTCTTATGAAAAGGAGTAGGGATGACATGATAGCATTGTTCTCAGAGGGTGCCACAAAGAAGAGGGAGTCAAGCTATTCTCCAAAGCACTGGAGGGCAGAACAAGAAGCAATGGATAGAAACTGATCAAAGAGAGAAGTAACTTAGAACTAAGGAGAAATTTCCTGACACTTAGAACAATTAACCAGTGGAACAACTTGCCTCTAGAAGTTGTGAATGCTCCAACACTGGAAGTTTTTAAGAAGAAGTTGGATAACCATTTGCCCAAAGTGATGTAGGTTTCCTGCCTAAGCAGGGGGTTGGATTAGAACACCTCCAGGGTCCTTCCAACTGTCATTCTAAAGGAAATACATTCCATGGAAAGACCAGCTTGTTCTTTGGTCTTAGATTGCTACTCTGTAGATTAGATTAAGATATAACTTTATACATAAAACCTCACAAATATTGAATTGTTACATATATTCACAACTGATTGAGACATTTACTACTTTAATGTTTTTTAGAATTGTTTTAAATGATTGTTGAATTAGGGTTATCTGGTAAATCAATATATTCTGAAACTCATTTTTACATGTTAACACATCTGTTTCATTGAATAGAACCATGTAGATTTCTCCATTTCAACTCTGTACATTTCCCTTCTGGTTTTATCCATTATGTGTATAAACTTTTGATTTGGTGTTGAAAGAACTGACTTCTTTTATTTTTGAAGACCAGGATAACATTTTCCCTCCAGGGTCAGGATTTATAGTAGCATTTGTGTGCAAGAAGCTAGTAAGCGGATCTGTTGTCTTTTAATGTTGTTATTCTTTAATTTAAACTGGCACATATATCCTGATCCAGTCATACACTGGAGTAGGAATACATACTACTTGTGTTGTATTCAATGTGATGCATTTGGAATAGAAAGAATAAGCCCAAGCTTATTGCTAGCAGCTTCAGTTTATTATAATATGTAGTTTTAATTAGATGTCAAATCTGGTGATCCCAAGTCAGACCTTCTTCAGAATGATCTATCTTCAATCTGCTGCTTTATGTCTCCTGGATAGACCCATGTAAATATTTTATTGCTGATCACCTACAATATATTACAATAATCTTGCTGGTCTGCCTGCCTTCCCTTGGGAAATGGGAGATTTCCTCTTTCGAACAAACTGTAAAATGTCTCTACTTCACATGGAGGAGCCCCTCTCCCTTCAACCAATGGTTCCACCCCATATTCAAAGTGTGCCAAGATGGCAGTGGTTATTCAAGGAAAGTAATAATAAAGGAAGAAGCTATACGAAAACAAGATGAAAAGGAGTAAAATGTAAAAAAAAGCATCCATGGCAGACTGGATGAAAGCAGCTCCAGGGACTAGGATTGGAGAAGGGTGATGGAGGGGAAAAATAATCTCCCCTTCCTTCTCATATCCCACCATCTGAAGTGCCAGGCAATTAACAGCTTCTCAGTTGTTTTTAGCCAGTGGCTGGAGAAAATGAAGAATAGTTCCAGTTCAGGGAGAAAGCAAGAGTTATATCCAGAGCAATTATTTTATGGCCACCAAGGCTAGCTGTCAGCAGTCTTGGGATAAAGGGGAAATGTGATGGCAGCCACTTAGGAGAGCCCAATAAAAAATGGGCTGGAACCTCTACATATTAGAGAACAAAGAATGGATAATGTTTTAATATAGAAAATGCATAAAGAATAGAATTAATGGTTGTTTAGGTTAGGAAGGTGCGTTAAAATTAGGCTACAACAGAGATGATAAAAATTTTCTCTGAGTTGAAGAGAAAGAAGCCAGGGTGAAATAAAGTTTTCACACCCAGTTGGAAGTGGAAGCAGAGAACTGACATTTAAATTCAGATAGAGGGATAAGTATCCTACTTACAAATGACAAGTGTCATTCCAAAGCATTAATTACTTATGATAATTATTTGGTAAAGCTCAAACATGTGTAATTTCCTTAACATTGGAGATTTGCAAGATTGATGTCAGCAGATCAAACGTAGAAACTGAAGACATGCAAACTAACATATGGTTTATTACCAGGCTATAGTAGCAATCTTCCAGGTCTGAATGTCCTTCCCTTCTCCCTGACTTTTATCTTGATGGGATCTGAGTAGCATCATGTCTGAAATGCTTTCTCAACGTACACTTCTGATGCAGATTCAAATTTCTTTTGTTATCTTGATTGCAGCTTTTTCTCTTATTCCTCAGCATTATTCCTTCTACCCATTATGCTGACAAATTAAACATTCAAAACTTGGAACATTATTGCAAAATAAGATGAATCTCAATCAGAATAGCTCTGACCAAATAATGTAATGTAATTTCAAACAGAGCCCTGGGTTCTTATTAAAAAAAAAACCTCACTTGATGCCCCAATCTCCAGTTCTGCAGATTTTTCTTCAGAAAGTGGAACTAGGGCAGGCTGTTTGGCAGAGGCATGTTGTTCCATGGTGGGAAGGCAAAGGTAGTTTCTTCAGACAATTCCTCCTTCCCCAATTCTACAAGTAGACACAATTCATTTAGTACTAATACTTACCAATTGTTTCTTATGGTCAATTCAAGTATTGTTTTCAACAAACTTCAACAACTTGTGGAGTAGGAGAAAAACAATCTACATCTTATTATCTTACCGGATGTCCAACAAATACTGAATAAAATAAAATTATTACTCTCAACTTTGGAAATTATTTTACATTGATGAAAATTAAAATTAGTTTTTAATTTTGACATTTAGCAGCCCCAACATATTCCCGAGTTCTATCTAGTAAGGCAATGTTTCAGATTTCTCCTTTTAAAAGAGCTGCAAAATATGAGGGACCATAAAAGTAGCATGAAGGTCTATAGCACCTTAAATCAGCCACATATTTTCCATGAAAAGAGATGGGTGACTTTGAAATGTTGTACCCAGGGGCAATATTTGTACTTCCAAGTGCCCAGAAATGGGACTTGGAGATGCTTATTAATATTTAAAATTACTGCTTAATATTTAGCTTATGATTACTCACAATTCCAATATTTTTAACATTTGTGTTTTTTCCATAGGTGAAATTTTTTTCTGTTCAGTTTCATTATTATTTTCAGCCACTTTTTTAACCTA